GCAGGTTAAAGCCTCTGCCTTCAGCTCAGGTCATGATCTCAGGGTCCTGGGATCGAGCCCCGCATCGGGCTCTCTGCTCAGCGGGGAGCCTGCTTCCTCCTCTCTCTCTGCCTCCTTGTGATCTCTGTCTGTCAAATAAATAAATAAAATCTTTAAAAAAAAAAAAAAAAGGAACTTTGTTGTTAAGTTGCCTTATGAACAATTTTAGAGAATACAACATACCTAATAACAATAGTTATTTAGTACTTATAATGTTCCTAGGCAGTGTTGTAAGCACTTACATATATTAACACATTTAATCTTTATAATTTCTGTATAAGTGCTATTATTATCCCCATTTTTCTGTTGGAAATTGAAACACAGACTGTCCAAGAAACAAAGGTCTCACACACACAAGGTTCACTTGCAAGTGTGTAAACACACTTTAATATATTTCTAAAGAAATCATTAATGGAAAAACGTAGTAACCCCATGTAATTTGCTGCTGCTTTTCTGATCCTTGTTGAAGTAACTTGAAGAAATGACAGTGACTCCAGGCATTTGGTTAACTATTATGTGGTAAGTTAACCTCAAAATAGAAAATTTGGTCAATAAAAATTTTTATTTGGGAGTCAGAGAGCTATTTTAAGGAACCTACAGATGGAAAGGATATCCCTGGGACAGCAGATCCCTTAGTTCCTAATGAACAGCGGCATCACTAACACAGCTTCTCCTGACCTGGTGCTATGTGCAGAGTAATCGAGCCCAGCTCGTTAACCCTTCTCTGCTTTCTTTCCAGCTGGCCACGGTGCAGCCCGGCCAGAATTTCCACATGTTCACAAAGGAAGAACTTGAAGAGGTTATCAAGGACATTTAAAGAAGCATGATCCTCAGAACTTCTCTGGGACAATTTCAGTTCTCCTAAATGCTTTTAACTTTTAATTTCAGCTCCTGTTCTTGGAAGATCTCCATTATATGTGCATTTTTTTTTTATGATGTCTGTACATAAAGGCAGTTCTGAAATAAAGAAAAATTTAAAATTTGTTAATAGACTATTCTCTTCTAATGCAGTCTTTTGTTTGAAATGCTCATGTTAGGAGGCAAAAAGGATAGTGGTATTAATATCCCTATTCTATCAGAGTATCTATTCTAAAAGCTAATGTCTGTCTACAACAGAATCAACTGTCTCACAAATCCCTTGGTGTTGGCAAATGAACTCAAGCTAGTCCAGCTCCTCCCAGAGATATTAATACCAGTGTGAACCCATTCAGTCCTGTAGTTTCTCTTGATTAAATAGGTACTTTTGCTGCTTTTCTTATATGAAGGAGATGTTAACAAATTGACCATGAAAAACACGTTTTGAGGGTTAGAGTTAATTAAGCCAACTTCAGTGTTGTCCCAGTTCTTGTGTCTTAATAGATAATTTGAAAAGAGATTTTCATTTTTAATGAGGTTAACTTATAAGCTGCCATTTTATGACTCATTGAGATTATTTAAAGTATCAATCTATTGGAGCCCCCAAAATGGCCATGTGAAGTAGATACCATTATCATACTTTAACAGATGAAGAATCTAAGGGTATATGTCCATAGACACAGAAAATTAACCTGTGGGACTTGAATTCAGATTTTCTGGTTTCATATCATCAACTCTTGATTTTATAATGCCAGGTCCTTGGAGCCTATACACCTAGTGAGTAATAGGGAAATCTCATTGAAATTTGAAATATACCAGCACTGTCTACAACATGGCTAATCCACGCTTAACGACTGAGCCACCCAGGTGCCCCAAATCCATATATGGTTAAGGCAGAATTGATTGCATATTATCTTCATTGACATTTGTAGAAAGTTGTAGTCCATGATGTCAAAATAAGTCATCATTATTTGAGTAGGTTGAATTCATACTAAATTTCATACTGTGTTTCCAGCAAAACAAACAAAAAAAACTTGTGTTTATATACATTTGGAAATTGTAATGGCAAACATTTGGAAGAAAATAATTTTGCCCTAGATATACACATAAGGAAAGTAGAGAACCAGAATACATTGTCACCAATGTTCTGGAGACTGGTCCAGTGATTTTATTCCTGTTATTAAATACTACATGATAGGGGCACCTGGCTGGCTCAAGTCAGTAGAGCATGCAACTCTTGATTTCAGGGTCATGAGTTTGAGCCCCATATTAGGCTTCGAAGTTACTTAAAAAATAAATACAACACGATAATCATGAGATTCATTTCTCTCATGTTCACCATTTATCAAATCCTGGTAGAAAATGCCACTGAAAAACCCTATCACTACTTCCATTTACTCAAATCTAATACCTCTCTACTATGTACCATGTGTTAGGCATTGAGGATGGAGCTGTGAAAATACTGGATGTGGTCTGTGCTCCCATGAAGCTTCTACTGGGAAGAACTAGACTAGCATTCCCTTTAACTCTGTAGGTTCATGGACAAAGCATGCTCCTTTAGGGAGAGATGAGAATTGTGTCTCTGAATTACGGGTATTATGTGGGGAAAAACAGATCTTAACATATCTCCCTTAGCCTCCGCTTACACTATGCCTCCTCGCTGCCTAGGCAGTGTTTTTTGTACCTTGGACTCTACAGCTGATGAGACAGTGAATTTCACACACCCTCTATGTTTTTTGAAAGAATAGGATTTCAGCATCCTTAAAAAAGAGAAGTTTGGTTTTCTGTACGTTTCCTACAACGTTTCTCATGTCCAATTGAAATAGGATCAGAGGGGCTTATGGGTGGCTCAGTTGATTACGCATCTGCCTTTGGCTTGGGTGGTGATATCAGGGTCCTGGGATCAAGGCCCGCATCCCGCATCAGGCACCCTGCTCAGCAGAAAGCCTCTTCCCCCCTCCCTCTGCTGCTTCCCCTGCTTGTGCCCTCCCTCTGTCAAATAAATAAGACTTCTTATTTAAAAAAATAAATAGGATCAGAAATTATCTCACTAGGAAAAGTGATGGTTTTGTGATGTGTAACCACTTTTTATTCATCTTTCAGCTATAGAATTTATCTTGGAGAAAGGTACAGTTTTTACTAATAAGTAATTGATGTATTTTAGTCCTGCAAGTGAGGTAAGAGCTTATGTGCTGTATTTCACAAGGGAGATCTGACAGTGCAACTTTTGTATATAGTGCCTGTGTCAGACTAAAATACTGAAACACTTTAGTTACGCAAAACATTTTCTCAGCGCCATATGCAAAGTACCATGTCCCTAGCAGCTAATGCAGTTGATGAAGGAAATACATATTCTGTACACATATGGTTGGTTAACAAAAAGTAATATATTCAAAAGTGCAACAATAACTGCAACAATACTTGTTTAAAAGTGTATGTAGTAATTTCTCCAGGAGATGGCACTGTTGAGTTGTTTTTTTCTTTTCAAGCCCATAAGACAATAGACCATTCATCTTTGTGTCACCCAAACAAAGAAATACTCCTTTATACCCTCTCTTCTTCCCCTAGCTAATCACATGCTACTGGAACTGACTGTCTTGTGATCTACTCCATAGTTGGCATAGATTAAAAAATAATCTGTATTTTAAAAAAATAATCTGACACATGGTAATTAATGGAAAGGAACAAATTGTACACCAGTTTTCAAGCTTTGTCATTTCAGCAGCTGAGAACTTGGAAGACTGATCTAGTGATTTCATCACTCTGCTCAGATGCCATTCAAAAATATTTTTCACTTCTCAGGTCTTACGGTTGTTCTGGAAAAAAAAATGTAAATTTGTAAAGCTTTTTGTTTGCAAATTACTGTGAGTAGATGGATTTTAATGTAAACATTAGGTTGGGTGCATTGCACCATTTTGCTCTACAATGAATAATATATTCTCATTTGGGTTTACCTCCAGTTTGTAGTTAAAAGTACTTTTTAGTGGTATTATTTGAGCGTAACGTTTGTGCGCTTAGTATCTTTCTATTTGCTGCCTTTTCTACTGAACAACTTCGAGCATTCCGAAGGGATGGAGTCAGTAAAGATTCAAAACTGGTTTTACCTGCGCTGCATGTTCTAAAAGTTAAGTGTGCAGTGTCTGCGATAAAGGGAACCGCATAGGGTTTTGTTTTATTGATTAGAGGCAGGATGCTAATTTAGGGGGCATCATATACTCAAAACCAAACTTGTGCAATGCACTCATGGCAGGGTTAAGACACTTTGGTAAAGACAACATGCACCTACCTATGAAATGATCGTGTCTAAAGTAAGCACTGGGGAATTCTCTTGCCCCTTTCACCCACCCTTGATTTCTAAGCTACTTTGTTAAGTCTAGGGAAACCAATAAGCAATTCTGCCTTTGGCCTAACTCCCTGCAGAAGAGGAAAGCGAGTGAGACCATAGGTGGTGGAGTGGAGGACTCTTCAGGCTTGCATGAGTCACGGATGTTCTGATGTCTATCTGCCTCCGTAGGACCAGCCCACACAGTTCGCATTTACCTTTCTGGCAGCGAGGCGGGCTGCTTCACTGGACAATGGGTGCTCCAGTACGCGAAGGTTAAAAACCTGAAGCACCGGTTCATGACGAAGCCCCCTTTTCCAGCTGAGCAAGCTGAGGGAGTCCCTTAGGAGATTTTCCAGGCGCTGCCGCAACCCAAGGAATTTTAGGGATGTCTGTGGGGGGGAGACGCGCTGGGGGGGGCAATAACCCGGTCCCCAACCTGAGGGTGCCAGAGCGAGCAGCGAGGGTCTGGGCGCCACGGGCAGGGGGTGCTTCGCAGGAGGCGCGGGAAGCTCCTACGCTAACTCTGGAAGCCCGGCCCCGAAGACGCCAGGCGATGGGGGGATGACCTCAGCGGTCTCTGCCACGTTCCAGCCAATCAGTCCCGCATCTTGGCATCCGAATCCAGGACCCCCGAAGTCGGAGGCGACGCGAGCCAATGAGGAGCGGACCGGGGAAGAAGGACAGGCGGCCAGCCTATGGGGGCGGAGAGGCCCGGCTGCGCGTATCCAAGGAGCGCCGGGCTCCGGCTCGGGGGTGTGGCGCGGCGCCGGCGGGGGTGGGCGGGCGAGCCGGGCGGCAGGTGTCGGCGGCGTCGGCATTCGGCGGCGATGGAGCGGCCCCGGGGAGCTGCGGATGGCCTCTCGCGCTGGCCCCACGGCCTCGGCCTCCTCCTCCTCCTCCAGCTGCTGCCGCCGGAGACCTTCGGCCAGGACCGGCTGGACGCGCCGCCGCCGCCCGCTGCGCCGCTGTCGCGCTGGTCCGGCCCCGTCGGGGTGAGCTGGGGGCTGCGCGCGGCCGCGCCCGGGGGCCCGGTTCCCCGCGGCGGCCGTTGGCGCCGCAGCGCGCTCGAGGAGGACCAGGACTGCGGTCGGGTCCGGGACTTCGTCGCCAAGCTGGCCAACAACACGCACCAGGTGAGCGGGCGCCGGGCCCGGGAGCCGCCCGGACTGCGAGGTGCCGCCCCCGGCCCCCCTCCCCCGGCGGCCGCCTGCCCCGCCCGCGCGGCCCGTCCCTCCTCCAGCGTCCGCGCGCCGCGCGGCTCCGCCGGGGAGACCCGAGCCGCTCGCCTGCCCCGCGCCGCCCGCGCCCCCCGGGCCGCGGCCCCGAAACTGCGGCGGGCGGGCGGAGTCCGGCCCGGGAGCGGCCCCCGGGACGCCGCGGCCCGCGCGGCTGTGTTTCGTCACAGGGGAGGCAGCCTTAGACTGTCACGGCATTCTTTTTTTTTTTTTTTAAAGTTGCCAAAATTTCTAGAGCGCCCTTGTTTTGTGTCTGTGTAAATAATCAGGACCCAGTAACGCTGTAACCCACCAGGAGGCTGGAGGACTAATCACCTCTTTAAGTGCTGGAGAAGTTGGGCTGCGCAGAAGCAGAGGTGTGTCCTCGCTGGGTCAGTACTTTCAGGGTGGGTAGGCGGGTGTTCAGAAATCCCACGGCAGTTCTTAGGTTACTGTGTGTATTTTAGTAGGTGAAGGGACAAGCTTGGAGATGGGCTGACAATCTATCTGTGATCTCTCTTCCGCCTTCAATTTGACCTTCTAGCCTGGCATTGGAGTCGGACCAGGTTGTCTTCATCCTGTTTTAAGAAGATTTCCAACAGGAAGCACATTGCCGACATTCTCCTTTGTGCTCAGTCCTAGTCAGAAACTTTAAAAATTGCGATAGTTCTCTCCCTAGGGACAAGCCCCTCAACCTTTGCACACTACTGGCCTGACAAAGCCCATGGTTAAGAAGGTCCAGGCTCCTTGCTGCAGTGCAACGTGGACACCTTTCCTCGAGTCTCCCCGGGAGCTAATGGTTTAATTGTTGCTACCCATATTTGCGCAGAGTAGCCTTCATGTGATACATTCGCCATTACATTCTTTCCTCTTTCAACAAGAGTTGCACAGAGGGCTAGAGATGAGTGGCTGGTTGTACTTGTCCGTGTGTGACCACATTCCCTGTCAGCCAAATCTCAGTCTCCCCTTGAACTGTCTTTCTCCCTTTGCCTGGACTCTACTTGATACCTGTGCTGAATTCTCAGATGTGGGGTCCCTGGGGGCAGTTACTGTCAGGGCACAGGCAGTCAGGGAGAGCCCCACTGAAGGCCACACAGGCGGCAGCTATGTAACTAGTGCTGACCGGTGGAATCAAGTTGGATGCAACCAAGTTGGATGCGGACAGGGTGGAGTGAGTACTGGGAAGACTTCCTGTTTGCCAGGAAAAAATAATGGTGTAGATGGCTGTCTCACAGTGGGGAGTTGAGGAAGGCTTTACAGCACTGATGCTGAACTTAAAACAGGACCCCTTCCTTCCTGGAGTCAGCTGGAGGTAGCATTCTTACCCCATATTTTTGATTCTTCTCTTGCTGGTTGACCTACCTTAGAACCTGCTGCTACTCCTGGGTGTATTCCCTGACTAGTCTGACTTGATACGTCTTTTGTAAACTGTTGATTTCTAAAGCTAGAGGTAGAAAAAAATGGCTCAGGGGTTCCTTAGGCCAGATATACTCAAGAGCAGATCTGAAACCTTGTTCTTCAGAAAGAAGCTTCCCGGGGCGCCTGGGTGGCTCAGTGGGTTAAAGCCTCTTCCTTCCGCTCAGGTCATGATCCCAGGGTCCTGGGGAGCCTGCTTCCTCCCCTCTCTCTCTCTGCCTGCCTCTCTGCCTGCTTGTGATCTCTCTCTGTCAAATAAAAAAAAAAAAAAAAAGAAAGAAAGAAGCTTCCCTCTATCTCATTTTATTTAGCTACTGATTTTTTTTTTGCTTTTTTTCCTCAGTCTTCTTTCAGTGACCTAATTTTAAATAGCTCTTTTTTTACTTGTTAATTGCCCGTAGTCTCTTCTTCAGAGATCCCATCCTGTTTATAACATGTGAATGTGGTGAAAGTGAAGCCGTTAATAATCTTCACCTTAGAAATGGTTGAGTAAAGCAGTTCTTAGAGGTCCTTAACCCAGAATTGTTATGTTGTAGTCTGTTCTGCTTTTCAGTTCTTTATTTTTAGAAATCCTGATAAGTCATCCTGAATGGTATTGAGAGATCTAGTATTTAGGGACCCTTTATAAACAGTGTGAAATGAAAGGATCAGCATGGCCAAACAACTTTTTATCAGGGCTATTGTATACTTTTGTATATAATACTTTTTTTTTGTATCCTTTTGTACAGCTGGGAAAGTGCCACTAAGAGGAGTTTTTCATAAGATGACAGGAGTCAATTCCCAAAGAAAATCAAAAGTTTTTGGTTCTCATTTGTTAAAACTTGCAGTTCATGTTAAGCCATATTGATTCATATAGCCAGTACATGAAAACGCCGCCCAAAATGTCCAAGATGTGCTGGATGCTGGGGGTGCTAAGATACAAAGAAAAGATAGTTCAGACTGGACAATGAAAAGCCTCAGAAGGTTTTAGCAGATCTCCTGGACCATTGGCTTGTTTGGCTTGTGAGAATTTATTGGCGTTTCTTCTTTAAAGAGCAAGGTAAAACTAAAGCATGATAGTGCTTTTATATTCTGGTATTAGTAGATGTGTGCCCTAATGACCTATACCTTGGGCTTCTTCCCTCATGAAATCCAGCAAGTGTGTCTGTGTATTTATAAAAATCCTTTTCTCAGACTCAAAAAATAACCTTTTTGCCTTTAACCCAAAATTGTTTTCATGCCACACTTTGACTCTTTTAAGCACTTGGAGTATGTGTGACACGTATAACCTTTGCACATGAGACAAATTGAGCAAGCACAGACGATTTTATTAATGTTGGTTGCTAAGTTGGATTGCTTCAAAACATTCCTCCTATAAGTACCCCTTTGAGGTTCGGCATGAAAACTGTCTTAAAGAAACAGATGAAATGCTTTGGCCAGAGTTACGGTGGTTGCTGACATAATTTCCTTATTTCTCATTCCTGTGTTCAGACCATTTGATAATTTCCTTAAAACTTTCAAAACTTATGATTAAAAGCCAGAAACTGTTGCTCACTTTCTGTCCTCCCTCTGCTCCTGTCATTAACTACTTCTTTACACAGAACTTCCCAACTGCACCCCAACATCAAAGCATCTGGTTTCTTAAATAAACAGGCCCTGGAGAGAGAGACCGCGTTGTATGGCATGTGGGCTCTGAGAAGAATGTGCGTGTTTGTTTGCTGGTGCTGGCAGGGCTGAGTCCAGGCTGACAGGACTGAATGTGCCTGTTGGAGGTTCAGGGAGCTCCCGCTCCTAGCCCGTTGTGGATCTTTGTCACACCCGGAAATCGGAAGGTCAGTGCCTTTATCTGCCCCAGAACTTTCTAACTGCCTCATTTATTCCAACAGGCAGTCTCTCTCCATACTGTCTTCCCCAGCACTCCCACCCTTACCCTCGAGTTAGTCTTCTCTTGAGCCCTGTTCCACCCGTTTGTTTTACAAAGGTGGAAGCATAGGAATTCCATAGGATTTCCTTCTTGATCCCGGTTGAGCAGAATGAGCAAAATCCCCACGAGGACCCTATTCCCATGCAGTATACTAATCAGACCTTTAACCCTGGTGGCTATAAAGTGACTTCTGCAGTCGGGAATTCAGTTGCACGTTCAGCAGATTTGATGACGTGTATTTGTCTGGGGAAAGGTTAGTCTTCATCTGTGGTTTGGTTGGGGTGAGGGTGGAGAGCTATCCAGGCAGGACAAATGGCTCAGGGGGAATGCAGTGTAACAATTAGGTAAGGTCTCTGCTGACTCAAATATTTGGCTCTGTGCATAGTGATTTTTCATTAGAAATCTGAGTCTCCTGTTTGTGGAAATGATTGGAAGAAGGCTTATGTTCTGGTCAATTTCTAATGGTTATTTTCTTTCTGTAATGATAAAAATAATGGGCTTCCCATCCTGTTGTTTCGATCTGATTTTCCATGTCAGGTTCACAGAGGCTCTTAGCAGCTTCTTCTGCACTCTGCCGATTTCCAATCAGCTCTTGCCAACAAGCATTGGATTCTCAGTGGGTGACTACAGAGCCTGTGCTCCCCAACTTTGTCCTAGTTGGCCTGTTATCCTTGTGTGATCCTCACAGGAAGGGCAGTGCTTAACACTGAGTGGTAATGGTTGGAGCAGGAGTGAGGTCTGCTCCTCTCCCTCCCTTTCTGTGCACCCCTACCCCTTAGGTTCTTTTTTTTTCCTTTTAAGATTTATTTATTTTGGAGAGATAGCATGAGGAGGAGGAGCAGAGGGAGAGCGGGAGAAAGTCCCAAACAGACTCCACGCTGAGTGTGGAGCCCGACTTGGGGCTTGATCCTACAACCCTGAGATCATGACCTGATCTAAAACCAAGAGTTGGATGCCCAACTGACTTTGCCACCCAGGCACCCTTCAAGTTCTGCCCTTACAGAAGTGAGCTGTGTTTTGAGACTGGAGAAATGATGCTTGGATGTTTTATATGATTAGAAGCTAATTTTATGGCAGGCAAAACTATCAAATTTGACGTGTAATTAAAAATACAGCTTTTCTTGCAAAAGGCACTGTGACAGTTGCTCTAAAAATATTATGAAATAGATACTGCATTTATAAATTTCCAAAATTTTTTCAATTACCTTCCTATTTCTTTGTAACTAGTGTTTCTTTGGCACTTTTCTTTTTAAAAATTTGGCGAAAATTTGTTCTTACCATTGTCTAGGTTGCCTCACTGATTTGTGTGTAGGTGGGTTTGAGGAGTAATGGGGCTTGAGGAACATGCTAGTCAATTTCAGGCTGTTCTAGACAGGTTTTTTGTTTTTCTAATAGTGACTATAGTCAAAGTTGGGTTAGTCATATGTGGCTTTGAGTTAGCTGGGTTGAATGAATCTTCATGACAGACCCTTCATACCTACAGAGGTTGTTAAGTGAATGCCAGAAATGTGGAGGTTTTTTCTGTTTTTTGTTTTGTTTTTAAAGATTGAGGCTATTTTCCCCACTCCACCCTGAATCCTAGTCTCAGGAAACCACAGCA